CGACCCCCATGTCATCACTCCGCAGGCCTCGTCCTCCCAGGATTCACCACCATCATCGACCAGGAAACAGTTGCCCGTCCGAGGAAAGTCGACGGAGGAGGTACCTCAGCGGTCAGCTTCAGCAGAAGACCAAACACACGACGCGAGGTCGCATAGAAGGGGAATGTTCTCTGTTGGTCCTGGAGGATCAGTACCGGTTTCGCGAGAATCTAGTCCATCCCGGGCCTCACTGTACTACTCCAAGCCGATGACGCCAGGCGGAGATGCCAACGACCCTTACGCGGCTCACAAACGCCAACCACCGGCTCCGGCCCCTCAGCGGGGCCAAATCGACTCAAGATTCGTCTTCTCGCGCCGAAAGAACAAGCACGGGTCGCCATCTGGTTCCACTTCGAGTCTGGGCCGAGCAAGCGACAAGCGACACTCCGGGCTCTTGGGCACGAAAGGACATGGTGACGAGCTGCAGGTCCCTCACGATGACTCGGCTAGCATCACGAGCAGACAAGGCTCCTTTGCCGACCTCAAGAGGTTCTTCAAGGTCGGCGGACATCACAAGATGAAGAGGGAAGCTTCCCCGTCCTCGATCCGCTCGGGCACCAAGACACCCCCTACCAGAGGGTCGCAACACGTTCCCTTTGGAGACGACCACGGACTTACTTCAAAGTACGGAAAGCTCGGTAGAGTGCTTGGATCAGGTGCTGGAGGATCTGTTCGTTTGATGAAGCGCAGTGACGATGGTGTCGTTTTCGCCGTGAAGGAATTCCGACCGAGACACTCTTACGAAACCGAGAAAGAGTACGTCAAGAAGCTGACGGCCGAGTTTTGCGTTGGCTCAACTCTACACCACGGGAATGTCATCGAGACATTGGATATTCTGCAGGAGAAGGGCAAGTGGTACGAAGTCATGGAGTACGCTCCGTTTGACCTTTTCGCGTGTGTCATGACTGGCAAGATGACGCGAGAGGAAGTCGGCTGCTGCTTCTTGCAGATTCTCAACGGTGTGACTTATTTACACAGCATGGGTCTTGCTCATCGGGATCTGAAGCTTGACAACGTCGTGGTCAGTGAGCATGGGATTATGAAAATCATCGACTTTGGTAGTGCCCATGTCTACAAGTACCCATTCGAGAGCGACATGGTCCTCGCTTCAGGTAAGTCTTTCCGTTCATATTTGCTTCGAAGCATAGGCTGATTGATTATAGGTATCGTGGGCTCCGATCCTTACTTGGCTCCTGAGGTTTATGACGAGCGAAAGTACGATCCCCAAGCGGTCGATATTTGGTCATTAGCAATCATCTTTTGCTGCATGACATTGCGCAGATTTCCTTGGAAGGTCCCTCGCATGACGGATAACTCATTCAAGCTTTTCGCTGCCGAGCCTACTCCAGGACACGATCCCAAAAAGTTGATTATGCCGTCAAAGTCTGCCAACGACCTTTCCAACACCCCTCAGAGAGACATTTTTGAGGACGGCAAGCATCACAAGCACGAGCCAAAAGAAAGTCAGAAGGAGAGCCAGAAGGAGAGCCAGAAGGAGAACCAGAAGGAGAACCAGAAGGAAGCTCAAAAAGACGGCGAGGGGAGTGCAGCACAAGGAAGCTCGACGCAGACTTCGACGAAATCCGACGGCCAGCAACCAGCAGACAAGAAGGAGGTCATAAGAGGTCCCTGGCGGATCTTGCGTCTGCTTCCTCGCGAGAGTCGTCACATCATTGGGCGCATGCTGGAGATCAAGGTGAAGGATCGTGCGACGATGCAAGAGATTCTTGATGAGCCCTGGGTTGCTAACACAGTCATTTGCCAACAACCCGAGCCGGGCCGTGTTGTTCACGCAGAGGATCACATTCACACCCTTGAGCCTCCACAGCCCCCGAAGTAGGGGCCATTGCACGGGCGCGGTCACCTCAAATTGCATGTCTGAAAGGCGTTTAACCGGTTGTAGATGGGTTTTTGGAAGGGAACAGGATGTGGAAGACACTTGGCATGACATGAGCCCCTCGTGGTTGGGGAAACAGCGATGATATTGGAGCTTGGGTGGTATGGGAGTCCGTCTTGAAGTTTTGTAGATGCTGCTGCGGCTCCGCTCACGGCCTTGGATCAAGCGATTGAATGGTTAGATAGGTAGATAATATTATTCAGTAAAGACTCAATTGTCGACCTGGATTATGTTCAAGTAATGCGAAGATATGTCCTGTTCCAAGGTAAATTAGGATAGAAGCTCCCCTTCGAAACATCCGTGGATGGTTTGTCATTGTCCGGACATCGTCGAATGCGATACGGTCGATTGGTAAGTGCAGTCTCCTTCCTCGGCATATGCAGCCAATCGGACGATATTCAGGGGTATGTAAGGGTGGGGCACTCGGGAAATCCTTTGGCCGATCGGCCCAAAAAATTGTTGACATTCTGGAAGCTCTTGGAATAGCTTCAAGGCTTAAAGTTCGTCCCCCGTATCGACTTCACACTTCACCGATCGTCATCCGCCCAATCCCTCCACACAGACCAAAGTTGCCGCTCTCGCTGTCAATTCATCTCAACAGTCACAATGGTACGTTGGCACCCGCGATTCCACGCAGCAGTCTCGACAGCAGCCTTCCCCTTAAGCCGGCCGCACGCCCGGCATCTCCCCCATAATGGCTCTTCGCATTGTCTACCGCCATTGGACAGCAATGCAATATCCCATGGACATGTTCGCTGACTAGATGCCTTGCAGTCTGCCTCCTTCCGCTCCATCCGCGCCCTCGCGCCCCTCCTCGACCGCGTCCTCGTCCAGCGCGTCAAGGCCGAGACCAAGACCGCCAGCGGCATCTTCCTGCCCGAGTCCTCCGTCAAGGAGCTCAACGAGGCCAAGGTTCTCGCCGTCGGCCCCGGTGCCTTCGACAGAGACGGAAAGCGGTTACCCATGGGCGTCGCCTCTGGTGACCGCGTCCTGATCCCCCAGGTACGTTTCCGATCCTGATGGCATAGCAACATCAACAACAGTGGCGCCAATCGTCAACCTTTCCCGTCCCCTCTTTCCTTGGTCTTGAGACCCGATCTGTGAACGTGCAGCGTCGGGAGTCTGCAGGGCCTTGGAGCTCCCTTTACTTGATACTCGTCTTCCCCGCATTATGTCGGTGGAAGTGGAAATAGAGTGATGGGGTGATGGGGGCGGGAGAGGACAGGATGGCGCAGATGGGATTGAACGGGCGCAACATGTGGACACGATATGCTGACAAGATGTGATGCAGTTCGGCGGCTCCCCCGTTAAGGTCGGTGAGGAGGAGTACCACCTCTTCCGTGACAGCGAGTAAGTCCACAAACCTCCCTTTACGACACGTGCCTCCGGGCTACCAAGAGGTCGATGCATGTTGCCAAAAGAAGATAAGGTCACTAATGCGAATGCCTTCGCCCAGGATCCTCGCCAAGATCAACGAGTCATCATAAGAGAGAGAAGTCCAAAACGGCTCCAACAAAAAGAAGTGAAAAAGATACCCACGAGGTCTTTGACGTGTGTACAATACCGTGTATCAAAAGAAACTCCAAAAATGAGAGCGAAGTAAGGGAGGGTGTAAAACTCTTCACAGTATTCAATTTACGTGGAATATTCAACCAAACCAACCTTGGGAGAGACTGTATTATGGAGGGAGTGACAGGTTCGGCCTTTTGCATAGAGACTTTTTTGGTGTAATAGTAGGTGTCCGCGATGGAGGAGACCGGGGAACTGCTTAGAAGACGGGGCAAAAGGGGGCTATGAGTCGAGTAAGGGGAGATTCGGGGAAGAGTGACACAAGTCTTCCCCCCTCCCTCGTTCCTGCTCTTGTCATAGGCTGGAACCGCTTCTCCCTCAGTGGGTTTTGATTCCTAAAGAAACCTCTCCTCTCTGCCATTCAAGTTTTCCTCCCTCATGCTTTAAGCCGTCTGATGTGATGTTCTCGTAGCGAGCCCTGGTTGGGCGGTGTGGTTGCGTTTAGTATAGTCGTGGCACCTGACAACTGACATTGACGCATGACTGCCGTCCGGAGTTCTTGTGAGCGAATCGAGTGAAGAGGGAAGTGTAACTTATAATACGGCTCAGAGAGTCTTCATCTATCAGGGACAACGGGTGAACAGTTCATAACAACATCTCAACCACCAATTACGAAGGAGGTCATGTTATCCTCTAGACCCTCAGACAGGCGTAACCATCCCGACTTGTCAACTTGACACGACCAAGACGCTGACGCGAACACGAGAGGCTGTTCACCGAACACACCCGGTCAAGCCATATGAGTAAAGCATGTGGGTGGGTATTGCCCAAGCAAGGGAAACTGGCGCTGCATCAAATGGTAGGTCTCAAATCGTCGTCGGCTCAGACAGCCCGATCAGAGACAATTCAGATTTCACAGAGACAAAGTTGACAGATTGGGGCATAAGAAGGCAAGGTTTACTTTCAGTTGTCAAAGCCCATCCCGTACTCCATAGAGTAGGTAGCAGTAAACAACAAAACAGCCACGACATGACGTACGTCATCCACCTCGTTACGTTGACGGGCTTGATCCCTTTTCGCCAAGACGGGACAAATCGTTTTGCGCAAGCAGCCGCAGCACATACCCTCGCTCTCACTTTCTCTCTCTCTCTCTCTCGGATGTGCACATACGAGGCGGGCACACGTGCATACCAAAACAAAAGTGTTTAGTGTCTGAAGACTACTAGCCTAAGGAGGCTCTCAGATCCGATCAATGTCTGAGATGTTTTGTCTTGGCAGGTTTGACTGTAGTTCGAAATGGTGCGGCGTAGCGGGAAGCATCAGACAAGACAAGACGAGACGTAAGGGGAGACCGAGTTATGTTTTTTTTTTCCGCTGCTGCTGGAGCCGCGAGTGTGGGTGGTGCAAAGACAAACAAGCTATTCCATCCGGGACGGGCGATATGGGCGGAGAGCGAACTTAATTATACGGAGTACGTGGATACAGAAAGTGCTTGATATTGGCATTGCAATCAAGATTTCATCTGGGGACGCCGCGCACGCGGGCTGCGGACCGTGGACCGTGGACGTGGACCTGTGGGCTGCGGATGTCATTGAGGCTCGGCTTGTGCCCGAGTCATTCCTATCACGTTCGTTTCCTGTCTCACCAGCGACCATTCTACGGAGTACCCTTCTCACTGCCCATTGTTCTTTTCCCCTGGTCACTCTTTGGGCGGTGCTGGAATGCTCGTTGATGAAAACGTGTCTGACTCTGACCATCTACTAGGTATGCCCGGCGTCTCAGTGGAGGGAGGGGGGAGGGAGAACAATAGGATTGTCTTTTTTTTCGGACGCGGCTTCTTCCCCGGTGATGAATTGACAAGCACGACCCTAGGACAATTTGAACAAAGTTGGAAAACAAAGCAACAGAAATGGATGGTTGATACATAATAGGTAAGAAGTTGTGCAGCGGCCACTGCCCGCAGCTGAGTCTCGTCCGTTATGGGGTATGGATGAACTAGGAACAAGGCAATAATGCGCGCGATAAACAAGCAGAAAAGACTGAACACAAGCAGAAGGGGGAACCCGTAAGCGGGATAAAACATAATTAAACAACTTTGATCAAATCAAGAAAGAAGCGAGATATGAATGATGGATAATGGGATGAAGAGGAGTCGCTCCGAGATTGTGCATTATCCAAATGGAAAGTGGGAAATCTTACGGGTTATGGGTTCACAAATTCACGGTTCTGCGGTCCCATGGTCCCACGGGCCATGGTCCGCGGGAGAGGGAATGAGTGTCAGAGTGAGAGTGAGAGCTGGATGAGTGAGGAGAGAGTGCCAGTGAGATTGTGAACAGTGAGTGAAAGAGGGATCCCATGGGTGTCCCGGGCCCGGGCAGACTGTGGATATCTGCTGGATATTGGCGGTAAAAGACCATGAGTCGGGAAGTCTAGACACCGCACCGCCAGAAAGGCAAGGCCGCCCCTTTTCTTTTTTTCTTACTTTCGAGGATTCTCAGTGATGTCGTCCCAAGGACCACCAAAGGGAAATCCACAGAAAAGGTAGGGATCCATGGATCATGGATTTGAAGAAGGGGGAGAGATACCGCGGAGACTGTGGAGAACAAGGTTGGGCTGCGAGATTTTCGAGGATCTTGTCACGCTTGTCAGCGATGAATGGGAGCCAGTCGTTTGTTGGTCCTCTTTTCGTTCTGATTCAGGGGGGCATTTTGGCCCTTGGGTAGGCGTATGGGGGCATGTTCAGGGGGGGGGCCAGAGTCAGTAAGCAACATGAGGAACCTGCTGAGATGCAGGTTTGACGCAGTAAGGCGGCTGGCGGCTGCGTGCGATGTTTAGCTAAATTCAGCTGCCAATCGGCAACGAAGGGGCGGATTGGGTTCGTTTGGATTTAGATTTCGGATGCGGTTGGAGGAAAAGCGTTCGTCTCGTCTTTTTTGCCCTCGCGTGGCTCCCGTGGAATGTGCCCAGAGTTCATTGGCAAAACGAAACAGCGGCTCGGGACAGGTTACGGAGTACGGAGTACCTGGCAGGCTCGACTGTGGGATCTGGAGTGGGTCCTTGGCAGGGCGTGACACCTGGTCACCAACTGGTCCGCGACGAAGAAACAAGACTTTTTTTTGTGGTTTTTTTTTCTTTTTTCTTTCGCTGTAATGTAACCTGGGGAAATGATTACTGGAGATTTGGAGAAGTGTAGAAAAAAATCGTCACAAATCACAGTTGATGTAGAATGGGCCAGAACTTGGACTGGACTCCTGGACTTTCTGGATCTTGGTAAACTGGAGACTGGCACACACTGGATCGAGGAGTTGGAAGTGGGAAAGATGCAAGAGTTGATGGTGCCGGGACATGCGTGGCTTCTGGGTCCTCGGCCCAGTTTATGTGTTTAGTACGTTACAACTCTGCAGTTCAAGCTTACCTGGCAGCTTAGTTAATTGCTGCTAAGGTGCGTTTCCCAAGTTTCAAAACAGTTTGCCTATATGTTTTAACCTTAAGGTACCTACTGTGCTGGTGTCATTCCAGACCTTCTTCGCTGGTACAGGAGTGTATTAGCTAAGGCACCTCACCAGGCACGTACGAAGTAAAGTGCCTACAGCAGCGTTTGGTGTGCGTGCCCGACGGGAAGCCAGCCGTCAACCGATCGTCAGGAGTTGATTAATTGCCTGTGTGAATGTCTCAATGATGGTTCGTCTCATTTTCTGTCTTCTTTTTCAGACTAAGATCTCAAGGGACGGATTGTTTCTTCTTTCCTCCCCTCTTCTGCTAATACAAACACTTTCCAACCCCCTTCTCAAATTGTTCCCGTTACCCCCTTGCGCCAATCAGTCAACGAGACGATCAACCGACGCAGCCAAGCGAAACTTTCGGGCGACAGACAGCCAGCCCAGCCCAGCCCAGCCTGCCTTCTCTCGCCTTTTCGAGACAAAGTGTCGTTGGTGTCAAGGTCAAACGGCCGAACTTGTGGCGGCGGAGGCGGAACTAAACACGAGTTTAAAGCTGAAGTAGGGCATGTCAAGGCTCTTAGTTGGTGATAGCCTCCCTCCCGATCTACCGAGCCCCTGGGCCCCTTGACTTTCCGGTTCGTATCTACTGTGTAAGGTATCACGGTGTGCCGTGGAATCACATTGTATTCGCGGGAGTTGATTGACAGCATCCGTATTGACTCGAGTAAAACCCCCTCCTTTTCTCCTGAACCCCGCGCGTCACACGCGAATCTGCACCATTTCGGCTTTTCGAGATGGGCCGAAGTGGTTTAGTGCCAGGGGAGATCGACGAATCTTAAAACGGCGTCTGAACTTTCCGCTCTGCGCGTTTCCTGCTCGCTCTCTGCTGACTTGACCCTGACTCCTGAGGTGCATTTACACGCGCATGTCCGTATCAGTAGAGTATATCGTTTGGGGAGGATTCTAGCGCGGCAACGTCTGGCTCCATCTGCAGCTACCGGGCTTCTTCATCCTTCCATGACGATGATCCGGTCTTGGTATATTCTTGTGGGCAGAGCGCTGCAGGTCCCGAGAGTCCAGACTGTGCGCGTTGTCGGGGGACTCGGGCACTCGGGGAGGAGGAGAGGAGAGATGTGGACGCGGCTATCCATTCGTACCCGCAAGCCACGGACCCCAGGGTCCAGGGCTGAGGGAAATGCCTCTCTGATGCTGTCTCCTTCTCGTTTGTCTGTGGACTGTGGTATGATAACACCGCGCGTCTAATTCGTTGTTCGGCTCTTGGTCGATCATTTGGTCTTGTTTGCTCTCTGTGCCTTGGAAATCCTACGCAGTGATTCCCCGAGGGCGACGGCGACTAAGGTACGTATCCATTAGGGCGGGGCGGGTTCGGACGAAGGCAAGAGCCAAGAGCCAAGAGGGAAGGAAGGATGGGATGGATGCGCAAGATGGGAAGGAAGTGAGAGATACGTACTCCGTACCCCAGTAGCGCCGCCCACTTCTGTTTCATGTTCCCATCTCCGTTGTTCCCACTAACGCACGCCACGAGACCCTGCAATAAGAATTTCCTCTCTGTTCAGACTGTTTGTCTGTGGTTTTTCTCTTGGCAAGGGCCCAGGCTTCTTTCCTGTTGGTCAGGCCGTTTTTTCTTCTCTCTCTCACACCTTGCTCCTCGGGCAGTATTATCTCACCACCACACTGGCACACACACACACACCCGTATCTGTCTCTCTTCGCGGTATCTCTGCTGTGCCCCCTCGCCCCCGGCACCATGATCTGACACCCATGGCTAGCTTAGGCAGGCAGAGAAAGACTGAATAGAGGCAACCCTCCAAGGCAGATCCCGTATCCTTCCAGCTTTCCAGTGGGAACTCCACCAACCCAGCGGCGGCAATTTATCTTGAAGCATGCCCTTTTCGGTAGAATGACCGCGCTAGCGCACCACTCAATGTAACCTGCAAGACGGGAACTGGGGGCAGCATGGCGGCTCGGAAGAGGCACAGATAGGGTGGTGACGAAGAAGACAGAACTTAACTGTGGTAAAAGGCGAGTGGGGGTAGCAGACGACGTTGCCAACAGCTAACTTGCTGCCCGCTGCTACTGCTAGGTACGGATACCACCCACAGTCCACAGCCCGTTGCCTACTGCTGCAAGGTACCAGGCCGCCCGAGATGAGAGATGGAGAAAGCAACCAAACCAGGAGTGTCTGTGGCCTTGCAGGAGCGGAGCTGCACGTCTAAAGGGGGGGCGTGCAAAGCGGTTGAGCTTCTTGCTGAACAAGAGTGCCACTATTCGCTTCCGCCCCCAGCTAGTGCTTCTTCCAACAGGATGACGGAGCCTCGGAGAGGGTCAAGGGCACCACTGACTGCAACAGTGCAAACCGCTGCCGCCCTCCCTCCCTGCTGGCTCCTCTCTCGCGGCTCGCCCTGTCATGGACGCCTGGGGTTGTGGTCCGTTGGTTGGTTGATATAAATCCATCTCGGTGCCCTCGATATCGGGCCGCTTCCTCTTTTTGTTTCTTGACCCCCCATCGCGTTCTGTACACAGCTGGCCGCTGATACCACACTCCCTTCTTGTTCGTCCTCTTTCTTGAAGGAACTTTACATTCATTATATCCACCAGAGCCAAACAACTCTTCGTCAGTTCGTTTGCTCCCTCAGTCTCTCTCGTCTAGCACGAAGTCACTGTTGAACAGTTCCACTCCTTGAACAAGGCAAAGCCAAGCGCTTACACCAAGCAACAAAACCACCAACTACATTTCAGTCCTTCATTCGACATCTTCGATTTCGACTTTCTTCAGCAGGCCTGCTCTCAGCTGTACACAGAAAACCATCTTTTTCGGACCTCGACGTTCTCTCTTGCACAAAACACACGCACAACAACTCATCTCAGAATACCCAACTCAACCCATCAACATGAAGTTCTTCACCACCGCCCTGGCCATGGCCGCCGCTGCCAACGCCCACACTCTCATGTCCAAGCTGTACATCAACGGCGAGTCCGAGGGTGATGCTACCTGCATCCGTATGCCCAAGGAGGGAGACACTGCTACCTCTCCCGTTGCCGGTCTGACCAGCGACGACATGGCTTGCGGTAAGCCACCACGCCTTCATTCAGCATCAACGTGCTTGGACGATGCTATCCGCTCTGATATTCATATTTACTGACATCACCCACAGGCAAGGACGGCCAGATCGCCGCCGCTTACACCTGCGCTGCCCCCGGCAACTCCAAGCTCACCTTCGAGTTCCGCCAGTGGCCCGATGCGCGTGCCGAGGGCTCCATCGACCCTTCCCACAGGGGTCCCTGCTCCGTCTACGTCAAGAAGGTTGACGACATGACCACCGCCGCCGCCGGCCCCAACTGGTCCAAGATCTGGGATGAGGGCTACGACGAGTCCACCCAGCAGTGGTGCACCGACAAGCTCATCGCCAACAAGGGTCTCTTGACCGTAGAGCTCCCCTCTGGCCTCCCCGCTGGTTACTACCTCGTCCGCACCGAGATCCTCGCTCTGCACCAGGCCGTCAGCCTCCACGACCCCCAGTACTACGTCGGCTGCGCCCAGATCCACGTCTCCGATGGTCCCTCCGGCGCTCTCGAGATCCCCTCCCAGTACTCCGTCAGCATCCCCGGCTACATTGATGGCACCGAGGCTGGCAACAACTTCAACCTGTACGACAACCCGCAATACCCCTACCCCATCCCCGGCCCCGAGCCCTACAGCCCCGTCGGCACTGCTTCCGCCAGCGCCAAGTCCACCTCCTTCAAGGGCGGCGTCCCCGCCGACTGCCTGATCAAGAACGCCAACTGGTGCGGTAAGGCCGTCGATGCCTACACCACCCAGACCGGCTGCTGGGCCGCTGTCGACGCTTGCTACGCCCAGGGTAACGTGTGCTTCGACTCCGCCCCTCCTACCGGCGCCGCCAACTGCTACGTCTGGAACGACAACATGTGCAAGGGCATCTCTGACCAGTGCACGGCCGGCAACTGGCAGGGCCCTCCCACCATCGAGATGACCGCCAAGACCGTCGCCGTCCCCGGCGCCATCCCCGCTGCCGCGAACCTCGACCTCCTTGGTGGCTCCGCCAACGCCGCTGCCGTTGCTTCCGCCACCCCCTCCAAGACCGCCGTCGCCGCCTCTTCCTCTGCTCCCGCCGCTACTCCTACTGCTGAGTACGCCGCTGAGGACCCCGTCGCTACCAGCGCGCCCGCCGCCACTGTTGCCCCCGTTTCTTCGGCCGCCCCTGTCCCGGCTTCCACCTCCGCTGCCGCCCCCGCTGCTCCTTCCGCCTCTGCTCCCGCCTCAGGTGCCCTTGTCGCCTCCACCGACGGTACCTGCGGTGGCAGCACCGGCTTCACCTGCGAGGGCAGCACCTTCGGCTCCTGCTGCTCCGCCGCCGGCAAGTGCGGCAGCAAGATTCTGCAGTGCAGACCCTCTTGCGGCTGCCAGACCAAGTTCGGTCTCTGCCTCGAGGCCCGCAGCCTGACGAAGAGCAACTAAAGCAAAAAAGCAAGCTTAGTTTTCTTCCTGACCACCACCACCATCTCTCCATCAAACTACATCACGACATCAACAACATGAAACGTGATCATGACGACGACATGAAAGAAACCCCCCTTCTTCCATCAGTGGATTCAAAAACTTCCTTCGCTTCGCTTCGCTTTTTTTCGCGTCTTCTTTTTTTTTTAAAACCAAACAACATGCTTGCATCACTTGCATCATTTATCTTCATTAGGGGGTGGACAAAACTTTTGGGGTTTGGTGGACAACAACACACACATACATCACGGCCGGGTTCAATGGTGTTCAGTTTTTTTGCGAGTGGGAAAAAAACAAATTACATCGGAACGGGAAATCATGGGCATTGCTTGGGTAACTTCTGGTGTTTATTTGTAGTGCCATTCTTGTATATAGTGTACAATTCGATCATACAACCAATATGGATCTTTCAAAGTACCTCATGTCCCTTCTGTATGTTCATATGTGACTACCTCATGCAAGTAGTGCGTCCTTGGTGTGCTGTACCGTTACAACTGATGTGTATAAGTATGCCGCTTCCCCCTTTTATTAGAGGAGGCGATAACACGCGGTTTTGACTCACCGCGATTTTGGCCTTCGCAGCGAATTTTGTTGGCAGAATGATTCCCGCTGTTCGAAGAACTTAAAGACAACCATAAACATATGACTAAATATCTAAACAAGAGTAAGTGCTTAACCCTAGGTACTTCGAGGATATTCACACATGAATATAAAACAACCGCATATCAGGGAGCTAAAACGCCTCGATCGCTTTAGTGGTCTAGAGTTGGTATTGAATATCCCCATCGAGACTTACTCGCATTATATACCCGAACACTCTACCCAGGCAGATCAGGGAAGTGGGAAGAGTGTCCTATCACCCTGACTACTTAGCAAAGGCAGTGCGGACTGGTTCATGCAACACCCTTCGTCAGGCATCGACCCCCAAAGTACTGTCTTTTCTATAGAACCGCACGTGGGTTCGGGATTGGGGCTTTGGCTGTGTTGCATACGTCCACAACTACATGTAAATTGAGACCACCTGGAGCTGGAGTTTCTCTGTCTGCGGAGAATATGGTAGGCTCTCATCAATTTCGGGCAGCGCCCGGCTTCCAATTGTTGGTCTGGATTCTCGAGAACTCCTTTGCGGCATGCCTTGCCTGCTAACTTATTCTACCTTCGAGACATGTACACCCCTACTACTAGTCTTCGAGAGTATAGTCACATGCCCGTAATGTAGTGCGATAGTATTCGCCGGGGAATACAGAGAAACCGCGCGCTAGACAGCAACGACGTCTTGATTGTTCTGGCAGTATTTGAGTTAACGTAGTATAGGAAAGAAATCTCGATCCTAAGGCCGTCCGTTGCACTCAACTCCCACCTCAAAAGACGATCCCATGTTTCTCCTCCCCTTTTCTCGTCATCGAAGACTTCCAAGTGGTGAAGGTTGTTTTGTGACCTTTTGCTAGCTCTCTAATACACGTCTTTTCAGCTTGCCTACCATTATCTTCGTCTTGGACGTGTCGTAATTGGCTTGTATAATCGTCGGCACGTCTCACTATGCGAAGAGTCCTGTGCAGGCAATAGTGAGGCGCCCAAGAGCCTAGACGTTGGAGGGCGAGTGGGCTGGCCAGTCGTCATTGCCATTGAGGTATCAACGGCCTTGATCGCAAGCGTAGAAAAGGTAGGTTTGGCCCGGTATTTTCACTGTCCCAAGAGCCTGAATAGATCAAACTATGAAGCAGAGAAGGTCCAGTCGACGTTGCTGCTTGCTACATCTTGGTAGAATCGGGAGCTATTTCCAAGCAGTCTCTGAACTGAAGCTCGAAAGCGTTGCCTCTCCAAGTAGTAACATATGCTGATGATAGAGATCGACGACTATAGGATGGTAGAAAGAGTTGTTTACTTGGGCGTTGAAAAGCTCTCTCTCTCTGGGCCCTTCTCTTAGCTCTCTGTCCTATCCTTTGCACTCTACTCGCAATGTGAGGTTGTCTCGGGGAGACCGACTTCTGATGTATGAATAAAGTGTGAATAGAGTTATCCCGCCGGCTGTCTGAAGTCGTCCACGCTTCGTTGTCATTTTTTGACGCATTGAATCTTGAGGCGGATTTCAGATGAACTGGGTCTCGGCATTCGTCAGCTGTCGTCCTCGGTAAAGTGAGGTACGTCGTGGAAGACCCAAATAGTAGGAATTGATGCAGTGAAGGATATCTATTCTAGCGCTGGTGGTCTAGGAGGTATCGTCTACAGAAACAGTAAATCCCAGCAACGCCATCCTGCCATCCTGGCCACTAGTTCGTCCATCGATAATATTGAAGAGTACCTTCGCAGTCTTGCTTGAGTTGTTTGATTTAACTACTCTATCAAGCTCGCTGGACGTGTCCTCCATTCTGCTGTCGTTCTCCCCCATAAATGATGCAAATTCGTTCAAGGAAATCAGAGTCGTAGTGTCGTGACTATCCCATAAGGTAGTTGCCAAACCCCAAGGTACATGTATGGATGGGGCCTTCTTAGGGAGTACAGCTGACTCCGAAAACGCCGCTCTTGCAGAAGCCCGTGGTAACGCGAGTGCCGCCAGGCTGAGTACGAGAGATTAGTATGTCGAGAGCTGAGGCGTTGCCATTGAATTTGGTACTCACGTTGTCTATGCATGTGACTTTGCACGCTACACCGACATTGTTCTTGTTGCAGTCTGGTTCCGGAGTGCACTGAGCGGTAACTGTATGAAGCTGGGCCGCAGCTTGACCGAGAAGAACGGCGGTGACGACGAGGAGAGGTTGGGAGTGCATATTGTTTGTTCGTTTGGTTTGGATGATGGAAGCTGGAATAGAGTATCGTAGAGTTTAGGAGTCCAAGACATAACTCGGGATATAAAGATGCGAGGGCTGTCTTTAATGTACTCCAGGTTGCTTCAACGACTCCCCACTTGTTGCTTTATCCATCGAGGTTAATCATCGCTGCATGGCTTGATCGGCATCGAATTCATGATGAACGTGTGATACTCGGTATCCCACATGGCGGATTTAGATTGAAGCTCGTGCTGGCAATTTAGAGTTTCCCCGTTGACTACTATACCATGAAGCTTTATTATAGTATGTTTGGGAGCGCAAAGACATCATTGTGGTCTTGGTGCCGGCTTGCGCGTTGTGGCTGGGGTGATGCGAGTCATAAGGCTGTCTGTCAGTTTGGCCGAGTATCCGTATTGGAGTGAGGGTCGGATTCGATGGCGAAGAAGGAGGCTCATTTGGACCTTGGGTTCTCTGTTGTTGATGACTTGACGCAAGTGAACGTTTATGGGAAATATATTGCTTAGTTTTATTTAATGAGTTTCGTTGGTTCTTGCTCAGGAGCATTTGGCTTTGGACAGTAGACGGGATGAACCTCCAAACTGAACTCCCAACGCGCGCATAAAAGGCTGAAGTGCCTGCCCACCGAGGCCGGGTACCCGACTGCTGGTTGAACATCAAGACGATCGTAATTTAGACTTGCTGAAGGGAAGCAAACCTGACAAGACTCGCAACAGCCCCATCGTCTACCAATGCGGTGGAATCTTTAACTCAAAAGAGTTCCCTATTCCACGCGGAAACGGCAAGTCTGCACATGACTCAGCTTCCGATTGAGTTTCGTGTAGACGAACGCCTGGCGACAAGAGTGTCAAGGCTGGCTGGTTGCATCGAAAGCCCTGGTTCGCCCTGTCTGTTTTGCATGAGAGGGCAGGAGGGTGATGCGCGCAAGTTCCAGGTAGCTCGCGGGCCTCCCGATCCCCTGGAAAGCTTGGCTCCGTACAGACGTCGATGCTATTGAACGAAGACTGGGCGCACAGACTACATGAGATTTAGGAACCCGATTATTAGGGTCTCAGAATTAGTCGGCGATGTTCTCTGCAGCAAACTTGAGGTTTGGATATAGCTAAACGCATGCTTAAGTGCCAGCGTAAGTCCCAAATGATGTAAGATTGTTATTTTCAGGCTGTGCTGCCAGTGAGCCACGCTACTGCTATGCGAAGCTGCCGGTGGCAATTTTTCATTGCAGAGCAGCTCCAACTATACTAGGTATTCAGAGAAGGTTCGCCAGTTTCGAGCAATTGATCCTCCAGGAGGGGTGCTTCAAATGATGGCTCTGTATTCGTCGAGGAGCGCGTGTCGGAAGTTCTTGTCTCTTCTGGCATTGAAGGCTGGGCGACCAAGAATCGGCAGCATGTCTCAAAGAGAAAAATGGCGGATATGGACTCTGAGTCGAGTAGTGCTCTATATAGTCACTCTTCCGCACAGCATACATTTCCCCACACCGACCGAGACAAGATTGCGGCCCCCGTCCCCACGGAATCAATCCCGGATAGGTCCCCGGTGAGCACGGGCCTCCCGTCTCCGGCCGGCCGGTCTTGACGTTACTGGACCCACCCACGGCAGAGTATGTCTCCCAATCGGGTAGGAAGCTGGCGGTACGTAACTATCTGCAAGGAGAGGGGGGTTACCTACCAGGATGTCATCACCCCTCCAGACTTGATGGAGGGGAGCACCGGAGTATTTAAGAATCGAAAGACCCAGTTCATTGCAACATTCCTCGTCACTATCAAATACATGAGCATATGTAATCGCCAACTTCACGGTCAACAACTTTGGCCTATTTCGGGCCGCCATGGACAGTCTACAGCTCCCCGATATCAACGACTTGTTGGTAACAGCAGACAACCCAGCGAGAGCCGACGTATCAGGAATGGACCACGAGCGATGCGCATCTCTGCACAACTATCTGATGCGCTACGCCTGGGCAGCCGAAGGCCGCTCACTAGCCGATCTAGACGGGAACAATGCCACATTCTTCACCACCCACGGCGACGCCGCCGAAGCTCTTCGTCCACGACTTGGCCAATCCCTCGCAAGATTCCTAGAAACGGCCATCTTGCCTCCCGCAAATGCAGACGACCCGCCGCCTTTCTTCTTCTGGGCTGCCGGCATGGCCGAACCGGAAGGCCTCTTTGACAACGGTACATTCGACTTATTTGACGAGCCCGAGGACGCCTTGGTCTGCCTATATCCGGCCATCGACGGCCAGGGAGGCGGGTCTGGCGGTGGTTTGTGGTATCACCAGCCCACTCACCGCGCCGCCTTCTTCATGAGCCAGGTCGACTATGAATTTGCGCTACCCGTTAACGAGGGGCAGCATGCCGCGCTGTGGCATCCGCTCGAGACTGTCCTCTCCAACTGGATCAATCTCATTCGCCTGGGAAAGGCCAAGGTCACACCTCACGACACGCCCTCCCAGTATGGCAGCGAAAAGATTGGCGGGCGCTGGGAGTGGCGACCATACGGCGACGCTCAGGTAGCTGATTGCATTGCCGCGTGGGATCGGCTGTGCGACGCCATCAAGGCACGCATACCAAATGTGACAGACCAGCCGCAGTCTAAACCGTTACTCACGCCCGCTGTGCTTGATGCAGCATCAGTACCGGACGGTTTTGCACGCGTCTTTCTGACCCGCGCCCGTCGGCCTCGGTTCGGCCACATCGCTCCGGGCCTCGCCTTTCCTCCTTCAAACGCAGCCGAGTTCACTTCTTTGCAGCGCTTCGCACCGCAGCAGCGACGGGGGCCGCAGGATATCCCACCTGTCTGTCTCTTCCCCGCCGCGCAAAGTGGGCTCGAGGCCGACGTGACTGGGTCTTTTAACCCATTTCCAAGTTACTCGGATCTATCCCGAGTCCCCGCTGGTGTCTATAGCGAGTCCATCTCAAGGGATTCCTACGACAACGCCGAAGAGGGGTTCCGGCTGCTGTTACCATTCGGTTTACAGGGTTATGTTGGGGATGAGGAGGATGTAGCTGGCGCGCGGAAGAGTGACGGGTCTTTTGTCGAGACGGGTAGCGTGGCTGAGCTCTACCAGCATGGATACAAGCCGTTTGGCGGCGACCAGAACCGCCCTCAACGCCTGGAACGTCTTCTGAATCATTGGCGCGGGTTAGTTGACGAGGGAGTCTGGCGTGTAGGGCCGCAGGGGGTTGAAGGCTCCATTGAGACTTTTCGGGAGGCTGACACGACACATTGGCGCAACTATTACATCTCACCGAGTTGGTGATGTTTACCGGGTATTGGTAAGATTTTCTACTGAATGACGAAAACTCGATGAGAAACGTAGTTCAGGAATAATTGCTCTTGAGAACGTATACGCTCCTCAGTTGGACCGTGATGCTCAAAAAGATTGAGCCACAGTTCCGAAACGGACTCTTTACGCAAGTCACCTCGAATCCTCGATGTGATTGTCTGCATACTTACAAAATACGATGGATTTGATCCGAAGCAGAATAGTATCATTTAAATATGCTTAGACAGTATCCAAAGCAGCGCCTCTTACGACCTTCATCTCTCTCACAAAAGGCAGCGAAGGGGGATGCCCATCTGCTTCTCCCAAATATGATGCTACATGAACTGCATATCTTAATTGGTAGCCTAGGACGGCGCAAGCGTCATCACGCTTCCCATTCTCGTCGCCGTCACCATAGTGCTTATGGGAAGGGTAGGCTCTCCGCTGCCTGGCTGCGCTGCCGCAGTCACTGTCGCAGTCTCGGCGGTGACTGTGACGATGCTACTATCCGCCACAGGATCAGCGCTGGACCACGCATCGGCGATGGCTTCATCATCCGTGTACATGTCAACGACACTGCCGTCCGCATCGACCACGATGTGCAATTGTTCCTCATCCCGATCGTCATAGATGACACCGCAAGTTCGTCCGTCGACTTGGTTACCATCCCCGTCAAGGAAAAGGAGATTGTCGTAATCCAGCTCAGCATCGACACTATCGGAGCCCTCGCCGTCACCGAGGTTGACGTGACAGACCATGCTGTCCGTAGCGTTTCCAGTGGTGTTGCTGGATACAGCTAGGTCTCTCTGGAAGATGCCAGGTTGGAGATTGTAAGGGCGGGGTCCGTTGATTGGAGCTGGATCGGTTCTATAAGACTGCCGGGGCCAGCTGTACGCACGGTCGTACATGCTAAGTGAAGAAGAGTTTTAATCAGTACAAGGCCAATGAAAGGGGTCGCGTCGCACAGCGAAATGAACAAAACTTACGGGTCATCGTCGAGTACGCGGAAGCCATGATCAGTGATCATTGTGTTCTCGATAGCACCTGCTACCCGGGTGTAAGTGTACGAGGCAAAGCACAGCGAGCCAGGCGTCTGCAGGTCGAATCCGAAGGCATCGATGAAGCGTTTTCCACTGCCGGGGCCGCGACCACCACTCAGTTGATTGAACTTCCTGCACGAAAACGTGGTCAGATAAGCCATGCTTCTCGTTGGAGAAACTGCAACTACTCACCATGTAGCCGGTGGCCCATTGTCTTGAATGCGGCAGACGTCCCTCCGGTATCTGAAGCAAGGCACCCACTGCGCCCTCTTCCACGCCAAGTAATCTCTTCCTTGTGCTCCGTTCGCTTGTTTATTAACCAGACGGCAGGCCTGCGGAGCTCCATTACCAGACTCGCGAAGGTTGGCCATGGGGAACTCATCAAGCTGACACCGGGCAGGATCAGGCCGATTAGAACCCTGAACAAGCGTGCGATAGGCAGCGTGCCGCTGTGTTGACGTTGATGCCCAGCCCGAGTACGCCCTGTTAACGCCGCCTCCCGACGAGAAGGGATGGAAGACAGTCTGGCCGCCAAGTTTCTTGTTAATGGCCCAGCGCTGGTTGTCGCAGACCTCGTCCCAACCCATGCCGTAACGGCACGTATAGGTGACGGAACAGTCGCAGCTGGTAGACGTGGCAGCTCCGCCAAAGTCCAGGATCGGCCATTGCCCATAAGATGCTCTCCCGGCGATGGTGGTTGGGACACCGGTGTTGGGCTGAGACGGGGATGAGCCAAAGAGCCAACCGGCTATAGAAGAGATGATGGCGAAGCCTACGGCGAGTGCGGCAAGTGCGGCGGCAGCGCAGATGGCACCCTCGATGGCGGCAGATAGCCCAAACGTGAAGGGCGCTAAGGCGAGCAGGGGAGTGGCTGCTTCTAGACAGAGAGCGCCGAGACCGCCGAGCAGGAGGGGGGCGCCACGCTTCTGGAGGACGAGGCCGCGTTCTTGAACCAGGGCGAGTTCGCCTGTGATGAGATCGCGCTTGCTGACCTCGTCGCCGTTCTGACCGTACAGCACAAGGTTGCCCGCGTTGGTGATGGACGAAGGAACGAATTCCGTACAACAGTAAGCCTGATAACCACCAGTACAGGTCAGATCAGCCAGCTGACCCCCTTCATTGTCTTGGTAGGAGTTACTGTTGCGCGCCACGATGGTGGCCTTTGCATCACTGCAGGCCGGAGAGCAGGGGAAGCCGATTCCGCGGAAGCCCTCCCACTTACAGATGCCCATCGTGGTACCGGGTGCACAACAGAGAGTCTGGGTCTCTCCCAAGGCGCAGATGGAGTTCTTCTGGACGCCCGCGACCTGGCCGCGGGCTTCGGTGGTCCCAAAGTAACCTGTGTGGCACCCCTCGCCACACAGAGACCAGTAACAGCTGGATGCAATGGCCTGTTGGAGCGTTGCGTTGGCCAATTGATCTTTGTATGACTGGGCAGCCTCTGTCGAGATGCCGTTGGCCGGTCCGATGCCCAGGAGATCGCTCATACTATCGCCAGCCTTGTTGTCCTGGTCCAACGCCCACTGTGTGACAAGTTTTGTCAGTTATTTACCCAAGTCATGTCTTAGCAAGACAGGGGACCGGTCACTCAATGCCAGTGAGGGAAAGACTCTTACAATCATAATGCCTCCCAAGCACAGGCTGTTGGCTCTCTCCATCTTCTGCTGCATAGTCACGCCGTCGTCGTAGCTGATCCACTGGTTCGAATCCCAAGTCATCCACTTCACGGCCGCCTCAGCGTCATACGATTCAACAACACCGCCCGAGGCCTGAATTCGCTTAATCTCGGCGTTGGTCAATGTTCCGGATGACCGCGAGCACTCGCCGGCCGTACCCCCAGAGGAAAATTGGCATACACCGTTGGGGATGTTGCAGGCCGGGTCGGTCAGCGTGAAGGAGCGACCGTACCAGCCGAGACCGAGCACGACCTTGGACGGGCTGACACCGGCACGCCACAGCAAGGACAAGCCGTCCTCTATCTCGGTAAGATTGGTGTGCGGACGGATGTACGGCCCCGTGAACTTGTTGGTCGAGTCCCAAACACCGTGGATATCATAGCTCATCAGGTTGAGCCAGTCCAGGTGAGGCTCCACGCTGAGAAGATCAAAGTGCTGCAGGTACCAGTAAGAAGACGGTAGTGTGGCACTTATACCGAGGGCATTGCCGAATGAGGCTCTCAGTTCAGAGAGGAAGGTGGGAAAGTTTGCAAAGTCGGCCGGTTTTCCCCCTCTGTCATCGGCCACGGGATACTCCCAGTCAAGGTCGACGCCGTCGAAGCCATATGTCTGCATGAAGTTGAGCAGCGAGTTGATAAAGGCTCGCCTGTTTGCAGCAGAACCAGCCATATCACTGAAAGCGTTCTGGGTATTAGGAGTATTGGTGGCATCGTTGAACGACCATCCACCGACTGAGAGCCAGACCTGCAATCCTGGCTGCTTGGCTTTGAGTGCAGTGAACCGTGATAGCAGCGACGCCGCATTCGCATCCATGGGCGTGATCTGGAACGTTGTTGGGTCAAAGAAGGAAAAGGCGAAGTTGAGGTGTGTCATGCCCGTCAGTTGCAAGTCTTCTGGCTGGACCACATCGCAGGGCCGAGTCGTTGCCCAACTCTCATAATAACCAATACGTCGGGCCATGGCCGAGCTACCGGAACATTGAGGGGTGGGCGGCGGTCCGCAGCCTCCGAAGCCTTCCTGGCATCCATCGCCACAGAAGTCGTCGGTGCTGCCACCTATTAAGATCAAAAATCAGCAACGATTCTTCTTCGGTTAGTAGCGGAAGCTAAGAAGTCCGCAACTAGTCGAATCCGTTACTTACAAAAGCCATGCTTTGAGCAACACACATTCAGGGGGCATGACGCTGTCTCAGGGACTGCGTACTGCCCGCAAGGAGCTTTCGCGTCGCAGTTGGATATGCACACATCGGCACCGCAGCTCGTGGGGGCGTATGAACAGACACCAGTGTCGCTGCAACACGCACCGTTGGAGCAAGGAATGCCAGGCGCGCAAGTGCCTACGGGGAGACCGTTGTCCTGCCGTTTCGCCAACGAAGTGAGGTCCAGGTGGTCCAGTCTTGCACCAGGATTTTCAGACAAATGTTTGATGATGGCCTCATTCTTGAAGACGGGCGTATTGTTCGAGCGAGGTTGGAAAAGGGGCTCCAACACCGAAGACGAGTTTCTTGGAAGTTGGGGCACCGCAGAGTATGTTGGCACGGAGTTGTTGCCCACTGCCGTGGAGTTGAGTTGGGCCTCAGAGGACCTACATACTGTGAGGACGAGCCCCGTCAAAAGCAGTAGTCTCATGGTGAGAACGGGAGGCTGGAAGCAACTAATCAGTATCGATACCACTTGATTGGAAAAGGTCACTTACACGAGCTATATCACGATGTTCTAGTGATCGTGAAGCTGCGGGACAGGCATAGTCTCACAGCGAGCAAGAAAAGGTGAAAGATACCGTGATCGGGTCACTTATTAAAAAGCCGCTGACAGGCAAGCGTTTCCGGGGGCTTTCCAAGTCTCTGATAACATTCAATCCGTCCCCAGCGTTTCTTTCACTCAGCACGTGAAACCTGATCTGTGCCTAGAACAATGTCCAGTGACGATTCCGGTCCACGGAAGCTCTCGAGGCGGGGTTGTCTTGGGAGGTGCGCATGTCTTGCAAACTGAGCTATCAGGCGACCAAATAAGACGGCTCCATCTTGATGGCGACAGTGGTATAGATGTGACCATCTGGACAACCCTGTTACCCCATAAGGCTACATCTTTGCCTCGAATAAACGAGATATTGGTGGATTTGCACGTCCGCGCCGCACTTAAGCTTACAGACGATGGGACGAACACAAAGATAAACCTGATTGACAGAGATGACAGGGTAAATGCAACGGAACGGCTTACCAGATTTCCCTGTTGAGCTATCCCTTGGGTCGATGTGATCAACCTATTGGCTGACATGCATATCGGCACTGCACGATGCTACATCTCTTGGCCTGCGTACTTGCGTAATTTCCACGCGAAAGATTTCCTACCCCGTCTTTCTACAAAATTTGGTGAGACATCGTGCATCTTGTCTCATGATTCCCATCTTTTGGGCTGTAATCCGCGCAACACGTGGACAGGGTGCGGACGCATGTAAGACGGAATGTGGCGAGAATGAGGAGCACCAGGCATCACAGAGCGACGATCAACGGGAACCCCCATGATGGGGACGGACCAGCCCGCCTCGGCAACGGTAGTCGGGATCTAGCTTCTTCCTTGGTCCTTGGCGACTTTGAACTTGAGTTCTTGACTACTGATATTAATGATTAAGGGTTCTATTTGGATAATGCTGACCTCTCCGTCACGGAAATCTACCCAGCCGACCACGGTCGAAGGCAAAATGATGTCGCCATTCTTCAAACCGTCTGCTCTGCTGTTGTTGGCAGTATGGGTAGGACGTGTCGTAGCCGACTTCGAACTTTACAAACTCTACAATGAAGATTCCTTGATTGCGGGGCTCGCTCTAAGCAGCAGCTGTCTGGCAGCATTGTGAGTATTGGCCCAAGCTACGGCTCCTGACTAGTTTCTGACTCTGCTCTTACGACAGGAACGCAACTGTCCGTTGTAATGAAACCGCGGTCAGCCTATTGGGAAGCGGCGCAGATATTCACTGTACGTCAAGAGTGGTATTCCACCACAGAAGTGTGAAGTAGCTAATCAAGTATAGACTGGACGACTCCCGAGGTGGAAAACCTTTGCACCTCGGATTGCGTCTCTTCCCTGAGCTCATGGGAGAGCAATGTCGATTCCGTCTGCGCGGATGAGACCACGCTCCAAGCCGGTGTTATCGTCAAGGCGAGGGCTCTCCCAGTTACCTTCACTTACAATGCCGAGCTTGTATGTCTGCAGGACAGTGCTTCCAACTGGTGTTTCATCGAGTCACAGACTTGGCAAGGAAGTGACTACATTCGCTATAGTCCAGAGATGTGCTTCACTGATGGAGACGACAACAGCACTGTGGCACCGGAGTGCGAAGATCCGGGCTTTGACTTGGGGACCGTGACTAGCGACATGGCAGCCTTGACCAACATATACAAGAAGGATCTGGTAAGTAACTCGTCACTACAACCATCCAAAAACAGCATGAGTGTAAATAATATCAGATTGCTGATTATTGATGAAGTTTTGCAACGATTGCTTTTTGGAAGTCTATCGACAACGCCTCAGAGACCCGTGGTTGCCAGTCAGCAACTTCACCGACTACTTGATTGAGCAATTTGATGATGTGCAACAAAACTGCTCTACGACATTGGCGTACACTACCTCAGCGTCGACCCTGTACGTAGGTACACCAACGGCGACCACGACCTCTGGCGGCACGGCGACGGGAACCAGTCCACCTACAACGGCGACTTGCCTAGGCCAGACGATAGAGCCGGAGTCGGATTGGCTAACTTGCGATGATCTATCTGACACGTTCGTTGACCCCTTTCCGCTGCTCCCGGTCTGGGGTAGTTGCTGACAACGTACTGATGGCATTCAGATATAATGTTTCGACAGGTGACGCTCGGGTGGTCACTGGTGATCGCACTTGCTACTTTGACAAGGCTCTCTGTTTTCCCCTGCCCTGTGAGATCGACACGGTCTGGGACTGGTCAAGTTGGTATGTTGAAGATAACTCCAAGGTTTAGTTCAGCAGACAACCTCAGATATTCGTGAAAGTAACACGTGCTGACTTCGGTGTGCTGGAACAGCGATGAGCTTGCCGCTCAGTACTCAAACTCGACGTACAACGTCACCACCAGTCAGTTCCTCAGTTGGAACACCAACATTCAAGGCAGCTGCTCTGGAGTTGCCCCCGGTCAGCGTGTATGCAAAGGGTAAGAAGAGAAAGCTATCCATTTAGCATAACTAAGTACTATCAAGACTAACTCGGAGCCCGTATCAAACAGCGCACCAGGCGGTACATTCCCCAAGCCTAATGTCACCATCACCGCCCCTGGTGCGACAGGCTCGCCAACATACTACTCCACAGCCACGCCCGCCTACCCAACCCAAAGCGGTACCATCGACGCGTGCGGGAACTACTACCTCGTCGTAGCCGGCGATGACTGCTCAACAGTAGACCAGCGCTTCGGTCTAAAGTTTGAACAGCTTCAGGAGTATAACCCGTACCTCCAAGACGACTGCCTCAACCTGTGGCTCAACTACGCAGTCTGCGTCGCTCCCGTGACGGCCCCAAGCAAGTCAACGGACGGCACATGCCCGGTCGGCGTGACATGCACCGGAAGCGGCTTCGGCGACTGCTGCTCGCCGTACGGCTTCTGCGGGAGCACGAGTGAGTATTGCAACACTGGCGGCAACAGCACGGACACTCCGGACGGCAGCTGTGGGCCGGATCACAACGGCTATACCTGTGTTACCCCTTTTGGAAGTTGCTGTAGTATCTATGGCTACTGCGGTGACGGCTCCGATTACTGCGGCGCCGGGAACTGCTACTCGGGCGCCTGTGACCCGGATATTGGTGGTCCCTCGATCAATGGGGAGTGCGGACCGTTGTTCGCGGGCAATAAGACGTGTACTGGCACCACTTTCGGAACGTGTTGCTCTACTTCTGGCTTCTGTGGGAGCACCAGCGACTATTGCTCAGGATCGAACTGTTACAGTGGTGTCTGCACAACTTGATATGGAACACCTTGATTCAGATGTAGAGAATATGACTGCTTTCCTCCTCAGAAAAGGTTCTTTGAAATTGTCACTACGCAAAGCGTCATTGAAACATGGATCAACACTCGGCTGGTCTTCCTGCTTTTGATTCGGACTATTGGAGCGACCTCGCGATGTGGCTGGTAGTAATTTGCCCAAAGTAAGAAGCACAGGGCTCAATCGAGATGAACTAAAGACGATGGAAAACTTCTTCTTGATACTCATTCTTCTTGATACTCATTCTTCTTGATACTCATTCTTCTTGATACTCATTCTTCTTGATACTCATTCTTCTTGATACTTTCTTTATTTAAGCAGGCATTGTGGGGCATATTTCTCATGTAAAAGCATAGGAATACAAGGGTGGAACAGATCCTTCCTCACGCAAGCTGCGCTCTGGTATCTCGACGTGCTCTGTGTTCAAAGACAAATGACTCTTCCATCAACTGCCATACTCTGCAAACGAAAGACTGTAGTTCCTCGAGCAGAATAAAAGCCACCCTGGTCCGAGTCGCAAGTCTCCCAAACACTCTTATTCTTTAACAGCTCCCCCTCTCATCCCCGGAGCAAGAAATGCAGCACTGGTAACTCTTGCCATCAAACGTCGCCGAGAGGCGTCTCGGAACAAAGGTACCCGGGGCCTCACAGACGACCTGGTCACTGTAGATGCCCTGAGGGGAACCGCCGATACGCGTGCAGAGTTCACGGGAGTGGTCGATCCAGGCCTGCATGGAGATTTGGCCGCCGTTGGGGCTGCAGGAACTTCTGGTCCAGTTGTAGGTTTTGGCTGTTGTGATGGCCAGGGACGAGGCCACGGTGAGGAGGATAGTGAACTTCATTTTAGTTGTTCTTGGTGTTGCTGCTTCGGAGGAGATATGTTTCGAGTTTTGCTCCTTTGACAGGTCTATTCTGAACTGAACGAGTGTGGTATCTTGAGTCCCGAGTTGAAATTTCGGGATGAGAGGGAGAAGGACGTTGAGCTATTGATCTGATGAATTACATGAATTACATGAGTGTTGAACATAATGTTGACTTGTCTTGTATACCTTGACCTTCGGCTTCTGGGGTCCACACAGTTCAACTACGTTCGGCCGAAGTAATGCGAATAGCTCGTAATCACCAAGTCTCTCTCGCAATCACAAGCTCGGTGTCCTCGCAACTGCGCGTTATTTTCCCGTTTCCCCCGATGTAGTATTACTGATCGATAGGATCTAGTATTAGCTTAAGCTTTCGTTGAATCCGTTTACATTCATGACTCGAGGCCGAGAACGAGCGAGGCACAATTTGTAGAGTTGTACGAAGTAATTCGACCATGTACCAGCTTGCGGCCCACCGTCCGTATACCCTTGATCTCAATACTGAGTTGTACGGATAAGTCAGGTCAGTAAGTCGCCAAGAAGAACCCTCAAGTTTTCGGATCTGCTCCCTGCCGTCACGCCCTACTCCGTACGGGCTATAGCAAATTGGCCCCATTTCCATCCTTGCACAGGCCAGTCCGCGGCGGTTCCGAGTTTTCAGTCATCAAGACTCCTGGAGTAATCCGTCGGCGAGATCCCCTAGCCTCTCTTTCCCGAAGGTTTGGGGAGATTGGGATCAGACGGGACGAAACTTGGGTTGAACCACCTGGCCCAAGCGTGCCGTGTGCATAAGTAAGGTATTTTGAGTTCAAGTGAGTGGAGAAGTGATTGCGATTGCGATCTATTTCGTATTGGGAGTTGTCTGCGAATTTTGACTGGAGCTGTATGAGTTGCAAACTTGCGACTACGAATAGACCATGGAGGTAGGGAGTTCGAGAGATGCCTAGGACCTCGCATTCTACTTGAGTAAGTGATCCGTTATGAAAGCGCCAAGGTCACAGTCTAGTAGGACAACACTTTCTTTCTCTAGGGTTCTTGGGTTGGTGAACGGACTATATCTCGCCGTAATACAGGTAGGTATATGCGACTTTGAGTCGCCTCTAACGATGACTTAAGCCCCTTCTAGCTCTTGACAGAAAATACAGATAAGGATACACGATGTTGGTTAGCAATTCCTTGCCGCACATCGAACTTTTAAACCAGCCAGCATTCTGACTCTATCAGCAAAGCGACCTCCTCAAGCGACCTCCTCAAGCGCCCTTCAACCAAGAAGTTTCTTCAGATCCGCCATGCGAGTCTCCTGGGTCTTCTTCCCCTTGTTCTTCTCCTGGAACGCCTTGCCTACCAGTGTCCGCTTCTCTAGCTGAATATCAAGCACGCGCTCCTCAACAGTCCCCTCCATGACAAGACGCCACACAGTCGTAGGTCTCTTCTGGCCCAGGCGGTGCACACGGTCCACTGCCTGGTCCTCGATGGCCGGCGCCCACCAGCTGTCTGCAAGAATCACCGTATCCGCTGATACGAGATTGAGACCGACACTGCAGACGGTCAAACTTGCAAGCATCACGCGCGTCTCCGGGTCGTGGTCCAGGGCGTGGATAGCAGCGTCCCGTTTCGGCGCCGTCATGGAGCCGTCGATGCGGGTGAACTTGTAGCCAGCCTCGACAAGTTGGTTCTGAATGATAGTCAAGAACGACGTCCATTGTGAGAAGATGATGACCTTGGAGTCTGGGTCTTTTGTTGTAGCCTGTAAAATCTTGAGGAGAGCCTCAGTTTTGGAACTCTTCGCGTCGGCGTCAAAGTTCTCGTCTTCCTCTTCACCGCCCTCCTGGGCGGGCTCGAGAAGCGCGTCTTCGTCGAGCTTATTACGACACATGGGACACTTGCCCTGTGTCTGAATGACTTTGGAAATACAGCCGCGGCAGAAGACGTGCTTGCAATGCGTGATGACAGGGCTGCTCAGAGTGTCAAGACAAACGGCACAGTCTTCTTGGGTTTCGATAAAAAGACGCAGAGCCTCTTGGAGGATCTTGGTGTTTTCCGAGTTGAGAACAACAACAGATTGGCCATCAAGGACCTTGAGAAGATCGGCGATCCTCTTGCGGCAGAGCGTCCAGTGGTTGCATCTGAGGCAACATCAGCCAGAGTGTATTCATTAAGGGCGGGCTATACTCACACCTGACGCAGGCGAAGAAGGCGCTCGAGGACATTTTGAAACTGGCCCTTCCCGCCAGTGTTGTTCTGGAAATTCTCAAGTGCAGTTTGTGCTTCGGACCTATGTTTGTACATGAGCTTGGTGCCTCAAAGGGGAACGCAGGCGACTTACAGCAATGCTTCGTACTTGCTCTTCTCGTCTGGTCTGAAGGCAATGCGGTGGACGTATTCCGTCTTGGGCGGAAGCTTCAAGTCAACGAACTTCATGTCTTTCTTGCGTCGCAGGCAGAGATCTCGCATCAACAGCTGTAGAAGAGTCTCCGCCGTCTCGTTCCCTTGGGCAAGGGGCCGAGCGATAACGCTGGTGAAAATGGCAGGTTGCTCGACGCCTCCATTGATGCCAAGGAATTGAAGCAAGGACTGGAAGTCCTTGATATTATTGATGCTGACAACAGTGAGTTTGGGTATACTCAGTTTGTTTTCAACCAAATTCGGGACACTTACATTGGAGTTCCTGTGAGGACCCATCTGGACCTAGCGTTGAGCTTTCGGCAAGCTATGGCAGCCTTGGTCTTCGCATTCCGAATCGTGTGGCCTTCATCAAGAACGACGCGTCTCCAATCCGTGGCCATAAGGGGTGGCAAAGGTGTGGTGGCCTTTTCCTGGCCTCCCTCCTGCGCAAGCTTGTTGTAGCTGGTGATGACCACCTGGTATTTGGCCAGCTCATTCTTGGTGGCCTTGTTGTTTCCGTGATAGGTAAATATCTTGGGTAGGTGCTCTTTTTTGACATGCCTGCGGATCTGTTGATCCCAGTTGCTCATGACACTCAACGGAGCAACGATGAGCGTTGGACCGGCCCCTCCGGTCAAGATCAAGCTGATGACTTGTAAAGTCTTGCCAAGACCCATGTCATCCGCTAGTATGCCACCTGAAAGGAGCTTGGGTGCACTCTGTACCACGAAGTTCGTGGCCATGTTGTGGTACAAATTACGGCCGTTCGGGTGCCATTTCCACAGTTGGACACTCTCCCCAGAGCCCTTAGGAGGCATCTGGGGGCTCTCTTTAGACGTCATCCACGCCAAACCCTGCATCACGGTAAGCTAAGGTGCAACAAAGTACGGAGAGTTCTCGGTAGTTTGGATTGGTGCGTTGGACTTGCAGGTCGTCATAGATATGTAAAGCGCGAAATGGCTTACCTGTAATTGGTATGGCAGCAGTGTTGACTCCAGAACGTCGGGCTGCTCTGCCATCGGCATCTTGGATAAGAAATCCTCGTCCATGACCAGTGACTTGACGGCATCACCGCGCGGACGGCTTGAAATTGCCTGACTGGCCTGTGCCAGGTCCTCTAGGGACACCTCTGGTTCAGCAGGGTTCAAACCAATTGTGGACTGGCTGCCCTTGATGCCCAGCATCTTTCTCTGCGCTTCGGCCTCAGCTCTGGTCTGTTTAAGTTCCCTAGCTTTCAGCAGTTTGTCCTTCTTCAGCTTGTCCTCTAACGCCGCGCGGTCAACTGGGTTGCTTGAACCATAGAGCTGTAGACGAACGGGACAGTCAAACATGCCCTTCTCTCCTGTGAGAATAGCCTCTATCGCGATCTCATCTCGATCCTAGCACAGGTCTTAGTAACAATCAAATTGCAAGATCAAAGTACCTACAACGTATGGCGCGAGCTTCTCAACCACTTTGCGTGGAAGATGGCCGATCTGGGCGCCCATGACATTACATACTCGGATGGCATTGCGATCGTACTATGGTTATGTTAGACATCTAACGACAAGAAGAGAAGCTCAAAATTGAAGAGAATCCTTTGAGCTTGTGATTCAGTACCTGGTTGCTGGGTTCTCTCATGCATACGACCACTTCGCCTGGCGAGGCATATCCATTGTAATAGCGAACGCCGACAATCTTGTTGTCTATTGATCAGATCAGCATATATAATGATACCTACTCAACATCTAAGAGCCGTACCGAGAATCCCATAAAGTTCTCTTGGTGGGCCATCCGGAGCTTGAGTCAGGTCGACGAGGTCGTCATCGTAGTCGGCAGACTGAGTCGATGAGTGAGTAGCAAGAGCACCTGAGCTCAAACGGGGTTGTGAGTTTGATGGAGCATTCCCATGAACTCTGCCGCTGGCTTGACTAGAACCCGACCGATTACCAGCCGGCCTTTTGCTGGGTCGTTGGGTAGATCCGTCAGCGTCATCGCTACTAACAAGGTCGATTACAGCGATATTACGCTTCTTGGGTGGCATCCTCGACGTCCGAGCCCCCGGAATCTGGGGCGCCGGATGGGTACTAACTTGTGAAACCAAAGAGCGGATTGGGGAAAGCTGTCAGCTTACGAAAATTGACAGGTTGGGACCGAACGATTCCAGATCTGGCGTGCCGAAATCCTAGCAGGACAATTGGGACCTCTCACAAATCGGACCACACGCGATAGACGCGTCTCTCGCGTATCCGGAGCGGTGGGATCGGCGCAGGGATTCTCTTACACCCAGCAATAATGAGGTGAGGCTTGAGGAGTGGCACAGTGGCTGAAGATGTCGAGGTCTGTGGCTGAGTCGCTTCCACCTTAACACCTCGTGCAAGCACGCCATCGGAGAGAAGACCCACACTAGCCAATCATCATGGATTGCAAAATCACGACATTTCACGTGACCTGCCTCCGGGCCCGTTTGGGTGGTCTCTGGCCAACGACGACGACTCTGCGGCTCTTGCACCTTCACAACCTCACTTCATTCATATTTTCTTGTCTCAGGTAATTGTCTGATGAATTTGCTATCTTCTGGTACCCAAGAAACATACGGAAACGCGGCAGGTTGAGCTCGCCGGCGGTGTCTATCCACTATATACGGTGGATAGAGCATTCATGCCATCATCATTCATCAGTCTACCGACAAGCGCTTGCGGCTCTCGGCATCCCTCAGTTGTATATCAAACAGGACAAATCCAAGCTCGGATCGTCGTCGAAGCCAAATACGCAAACGCCCAAAACGAAAAAGAATATCGACATCATCACCATCTACTGCTTCGGCAGTCGGCGGCCGTACGCCGAGTAGTAGCCGCACTTAGCCACATGGCTTCTCTTGCTAGTCTTCTCATTGAAGATGTTGCAACCACCCTTGGCGACGTTAGGAGGGGTGTAGACTACGAAGTGGTCAGTCACAGTACGGCAGAGACGGCGAGGTAAATCCTACGGTGAAGGGAGACAGCGAAGTCGCTGCCCTTGTTGCAGACTCGGTGGACGCCAAGTTCGTCTGCCATGTATGCCACCGCGTTTTCCTTGTGTGTTCTTTCAGAGATTATTTGCATGGGTTGCTCTTCGTTTCCTTCCGGGAAGGCATAGCGGATCTCAGTCAGATCGCCTTTGAGAATCTTCATCAGGCAATGCGCATTGCCGTGATCGTGGATAGGGCTGCCCTTGCCCGGCGTCCAGACAAGCACAAGCTGTGCGGTGTTAGTCATGTCACTACCTGATGCCACGAAGTCGCAGCTTCGAGTTTGACTCACCAGATTACTCTTGCCGTTGCCTTCGTCAACGAGGTTGCGGGTGTAACCCATGCTCTTCTCGGCGAACGCAAACTGTATCCATTCGTTTTCCGCTGTGTTATACTCTTCCATTAACTTCATCAACTCGTTGACATCGACGTCTGCTGAATCAAGTCCCGATGACGGGCCAAGCGCCTCCTTCAATCCCAACACGAGCTTGTCGAACTGATTGACATCGGTCTTGAGGTTATGCCCGAAGGCGGAGGTGATCTTGGTCAGGATATCGACGGCCATGGTTGCCATGGAATACTATCAAGTTGGTGCTGTTGTTGGTGGTGCTTGGTGGTGCTTGGATGATTGTTGCTTTGGATGATTCTGTTGGGAATGTGTCGTGCGGGGGGCTGGACTCTTTTTTCTCGTCGGTGATACGAATCTACCCGGTGACCGGGCCTGGCTGGCATTACCTGATGGAAACGGGTGGGACTGGCGGGAAGTACTGGTTGATCCGACTTCGGCCGGTGGGTCATCTCGTCGGTCCTGACTTTTCTCTTTGAGACAGGGCAATCTGTCCACGTTGCCAGAGCGCAGCGGGCAATTAGTCGGCGACCAATTCGACGTCTGGTGGACTGGTCTCCAAAAATAGGCGCTTCTGGTTGGACGAGATAACCTACTTTGACAAAGTCGAGGGATCCCGGCAAAGCCGCTGATAGGCGACGGACAGCCCCGATACTTTTGGTGGTTAGATGGTCAAACACCAGACGAGATGGGTCCTGTTAGAGATTCGCGGAGCTACATCTAGTCAAAGGATTTTCATGCAGACTTTTGATATCAAAATGAATTCTTGACAACATTTAATTCTCATTTTCCAAGTTGAATGGGTGGATCGCTGCCGGCGTTGGCCGACAGCCGCACCGCCTCAGAGTCAGCTGAGCGGATCCGGTGTGGAGCTAGTGACCGGAATGGGTTCGTCTAGATTACTCACGCTAGGAAACGGCTTTACCTTAGGTAAGAGAGCCAGAGTCATAGGGAAACTCGCCGCCATGAAATTCCTTCTTCATCGTTGGTTGCGTGAAGTCTCATCAATTATTTTGCTACGTTTTCTGTAGCCAGAGTTCTCGTCATCGTGTCATTCGGCAAGCAATAGTCAGATTCACTAAAGGAGTTGCGTCTAAGTAATCAGAGGTGGTGTTTGAGCTACCTGTCCAAGCCATGGCATCTGTCAGTGCAACCTCGACGATTCAGTCGGGAGCGCAACAAACTCCCTGTCAAGATGCCCAGACCTCATGTTCACCTTGTAATAAGGAGAATGTAGGCTGGAGGAAAATTGTCAGAAACTTCACCCCCTCGTAAGCAAACTCTTGAGAGTCGACACCAATTAGAATATATCTAACAATATGCAGATGGTTTGCGGTTACAATGGGAACTGGCATAGTCTCAGTTCTCCTTCACAGCCTGCCTTACAATGCAACATGGATCTCACATGGTCTTGCCGTTGCATTTTTCGTACTCAATATCGCTCTGTTTACCGTATTCACTGTCATCACAGTGCTACGGTACGCATTGTACCCTGAAATCTGGAAGGCCATGGTCATACACCCTGCTCAGTCCATGTTCCTTGGCTGTTTCCCTATGGGATTTGCGAGTTAGTCACGGAATCCTCCCCATAACTCCATGATAAGATGTACTGATTCCTGTGACCAGCCATCATCAACATGATGATATTCGCGTGTGCACCTACCTGGGGCCAGTGGGTGGTAAATTGGGCATGGGCATTTTGGTGGCTTGATGCCGCTCTGTCAATCGCAACTTGCATCTCGGTGCCGTTTGTCATGTAAGTGACCTCATCACACAACCTCAACGTTCGAGACTGACCAACTCTGTCTTGAAGGATACATCAACACCGTCCGGGACTTCAGGCAGTAACAGCCGCAAGTCTCCTCCCCATCGTCCCCGTCGTAGTCGCATCTTCAACGGGCGGCATCGTCGCTGAAGCCCTCTCAAACCCATCTCACGCCTTCACAACCTTGATCGCGTCCTACGTGCTCTGGGGCATTGGAATCTGCTTCTCCGGCATGGTCCTCGCGCTGTACTTCCACCGCCTGACGATCCACAGCCTCCCGCCCAAGGAGGCCATCGTCTCCGTATTCCTGCCCATCGGACCCTTGGGCCAAGGCGGCTTCGGCATTCAGCAGCTAGGAAAGGTCTCTCTCAAGCTCTTCCCTCAGGCTGCGGCTTTGACCGCGGCGGCTCCAGGGGCGGTGCACGGCGGGGAGATTCTCTACTTTGTTGGACTCTTCCTGGCGCTCATCATGTGGGGCTTCGCTCTCGTCTGGCTGTCTTTTGCTCTCATCAGCCTTGCCACGATGGAGAAGATCCCGTTCAACATGGGTTGGTGGGGGTTCACTTTCCCGCTGGGTGTGTTGGCGATCTGCACTGGCATGCTGGCCCAGGACTTGGACAGCCCCTTTTTCAGAGTCATGACTATGGTCAGTTCTTTCACTGAGTCTTCCCGATCATCATTGTGCGTTCTTGCTGATGGTTCTTCTAGATCTTCTCACTCTCTGTATGCTTCCTCTGGCTGCTTGTCGCTGTTAGAACGCTTCACCAGGCCATTTCTGGTGAGATTTTCTTTGCGCCGTGCCTCAAGGATATCCGAGACAAGCAAGCGCAGGCAGGGTCGGACCGGAGGGTTTGATCAGTCGGATCAATGTGAAAAGCCAAAACCAACAGCGATCCAGTATTGTGTTCAGCAGGCCGCCCTTATGGGGCCCGAACCTGGGTCTATTTCTTGTAGACCAGCCAAGCTCTTAATGACTAATCCGGTGCTACATCCACCGTCAACCATGTAGGTATCTGATTTGAACTGGAAAGTATTGAAAGATGATTCAGAAGCAATGCGTAGAATCAGTTTGAGTTACGATTCAGAATAGCATAGGGAATCTACCTTAAACTAAGTCTGCAAGCAACTTCCCTTGACACAGGCGAGCTCTTGTCTTAGTCATGGTGTTCTCACAAACAACAGGCCTGGAGATGCCCTGGCTGCCTGCCATTCAATGCCAATGGTCAGCAACTGGGGAACCCCAAAGACGCTAATGGCGGGGTCGATGAGGTGCAGGGCCAGGCCTAAAATTCTTTGGCGGGGCACCACCAAACACCCAAGTCAGCCACTGGGAAAGTTTGGCACTTTGGATATTAATCATTGCAATTGCGCTCGCACCCACTGGTCAAAGCCCATTTCGCACACCCCGCCACTTCTCAAATGCAACTTTGAAGAAATCACAACCCGTTGCGCGCCTCTCAAAAGTGACGAAGCATCCCGCGCGTAGCTCGTCCTCGAGCACCGCGCTCCATCACAGCACAATGGCTTCCACTCTTGAGCCCGTAAGCTTCAAGTCCATGCTGAACAGTGAGTTGACTCTTGCCTTTGGTGTCTCCCGCCATCCCTGTTTCTTGTTCAGCCGCTCATTCTGCATTTTTTTTGCGCGTAGACGTCCACGATGTTTGGCAGCAAGTTCGCATACCTGTGATTCTGTTCACAGCCTTTGGACTCTTGATTCTGCGCTTCTACCTTCATTCCACCGAGGAGAAGAGCGAATTGAAGGCCCTGCCCAAGGCCTTCAACAGAGGCAAGCCCGAGACGAAACCTGTGGAGGAGAAAAAGAAGGATGTCAAACCAACCCCGCCGAGCCCTATCATCGAGTCGAAAGCGCCAAAGTCGAACGGGCCCAAAAGGATAAAAGGTGGAATCGTGAAGCGAACTTCTTCCAACGAGGCAAAGGGAGAGGTTCTGGTCCGTAAGGTCAGACCTCTGGTCTTCTTCTCGAGCATCACCGCAAACACGCCCAAGATCGCCAAGGCGTATG